ATATTTTATTTCCCATTCATTAATACACTTGCGAATTAAGTTGTTAAGCTTATTAAATAATACAATAAAAAATATTATTACTCAAAACTTAAAAAGATATTAAAGTAATTGATATTTTGCCTAACTAGATTCAATGTGTTACAGGCTCGAATAAATTGTGTATGGCTCATTTAAACCATGTATCGATATGTCTCGCGTTATAAATGTAACGTCAACACCTTTTCCGAGGTATTTAATCGTTTAAATGCGTACGTTACCGTTACAGGAAAAATGTGTTCTGTAAAGCTACCGTATATGAAAATTATTATTGTGAAGAGTAAAATTGATTAAGAACAAAAAATTTAGAAAATATGTTGGATCCAAATGTAAAATTAGCTTTTAAATTTTATAAAAGAACGATTTATGGAAATGTCAAAGAAATTATATAAAACGCGTTTAGAACACGATAACTCGGATTTTTAAAAATATGTAGAATAATCACTGATATATAAATAACTGAATTATTTTTTTATATAATTATTGTTAAAATAAATTCCTACTTATAAATAAATTATCAAAATTTCTGTTGATAGTTATTCTTTCACAAAAAAACCCGAAATTGTAATCGAGGCGTTTTGAAGATTGTAACCCAATTATTTTCACCCTTAATTTATAACTTTACAAAAAGTATTATAGTAAAGGATAATACCAAATCTTCTTATGTTACACGAAGTAAATATTAAGGGAATATGTATTTATGACAAATCACTTCAAGTATTTGTTAATACCGGTAAGTCTTTGAGTTATAATTAAACTTTTTGATAGCGCGCTGTAGTAATTCCATCAAGCAAAAAAATTCGAGACCAAGAATTATTTAAATTCAGCCCTTATCAACATCTGCACGACATTTAACATTTTTCGGCAAAATCCAGTTGTCTTAAATGATCGTCCATATGACTGATTTGGGCCGCTAGACATCTTTTATAACGATATACTACAAAATAAGGACCTTAATCCTCTTATTTATGATATGGCGGATGGTTACAAAAATGAAAAAGACCTTTGCTTGAAATGATTTTGGCCCATGTAAAATACCAAAAATGAGCATACATTCGAAGATGGGCACAAGAAAGTTCAAACAATTCCGATATAACAGCTACTGCCCTTCAATAATTATTGAGCCTATCCATCAAAGCCATACTTGTTTTTGTATAAATTTCTCGTAAGAAGAGCGAATTAAAAAAAATTTAAAAGTTTTCAATCGAATAACCATCTCAATTATACGATTGTATATACTAATAAAAATGAATTCTTTAAAATTCCCTTTTTAATTTGCAATCTTTTTACATGGAGAAATAATTGCAGGGTGTCCGGCATGAAGATGCCGGTGATTAAGTACGAATTTTGTTTATCAAAAAAAATTTATTCAAATTTTACATACTTTATTTGCAATAACGAAATTATATTTTTATTAGCAATAAATTTTTTACTTTTTTTCTAAACTTAAATCGTTATAATATTTTACAAATAAAGTAGCCCGTAAGATAAGATTTCGATCCTCCCAACATTGACCAATTCTTAGCTACTCAATCTTCATCCAAATTCTTGTCAAAACCCACTTATTGAATGTTCCATATCTAGGATTTCGATCTTAACAACGAGCCTAGTTTTTGATACCAAAACTATTGTGAAATTTAGGGAAAAAAGAAGATTAAATCAAACCTTTTGTTTTTATGCACAAGTTCTATTCTTCTTTGAATCGAGAATTTTTCTAGAGACTATATTTATGAAGAATTATAAAAAAAATGAACAAAGCGATTTACGCAAAATTTCCCTGATGACGTCGAAAACAGGCAAATTGATTATTAAAATGATTTTTTCTTAAAAAGTAGGATTTCTTTCTTTCTTTTCTTTTTTTTAATGCTAATCCTGGAGATAGAAATAATATTATTTGGAGAATTTCACAGATGGATGAATTCAAGACTTACTTCCGCCTTTTTGTGTTCTTTTTTGATAATGTGTGCCTCACCACTTAGGCCTGTTCAATTATGGGCGGTCAGTTTTTTATTATTTTATTTTTAATGTTTAAAAAATATTGTATTGAAAAAATTACCAATTTTGTTTAACTTAACGATCTACTGTACTTCATTATAAAAAATTATATACAAATCATACTGCGCCTTAGATGATCTTTAACTGCGCCAAAAATCATAAAAGTGATACATGTAATGCATGTATTGAATAATTACCTTTTAAATATAAATATTATATAGTCTTCTTTTCATTACTTGTATTATATTACTTAGTTTTCATTATATGTATTATTTTTACTTATCAAAAAGCATAGTATAGTACTAGTTAACAATTTTATATAAATAGACCTGTAAGTTAACCTTGAGTCGACTCGATCAGATAGTTTTCTGAATAAGTCTTAGACTAGACTTATAACTCTACAATTTTAATAAAGTTACTATTTACACTTTCAACCTTCTTCTTATCTTTATCATAGGATTGATCGTGATAACCTACTACACAAGTGAATCGTGATAATAAATTGTTTATTTGTTAATCGTTAACTTCTCTTAGGAAAGGCCTTTGAGATAATTGTGTTATTAAGATTATTTATTTTGTTAACTTGGTTTTGAGATGATTCCAGGTCTAACACCATATATTTAATAATAAATTGATCTTTGCATAGTTTTAAAATTAAAATATATATCAAAATTATATGGAATTATTTAGCATAATTAGCATAATAAAAAGAACGATATAAAATGTATACTACATGCTTAATTATAATTAGATAATCATATTAACAAGAAATTCAATATTTGGTTAGTTTGATTACTAAATAAGGTTTAACTTCTGAGGTTCTTATAGCATAGCTTATGCTTATACGTAGGCTTATACGTATGTTTATGCTTTATGATAGAACTAAAATTTAGCTTTAACAAAAGGCAGGTGAATTTATTAGAAAAAAATCAATTTTTGAAAATATCATATTGACTATTTTTTTTTATATTTAAAAAAAAAATAATAATAAATAAATAAATAAACATTACTTAATAGTTTGTAAGTATATCCTTATTTTTTAAGAAATCACCTAACGTTAAATTAGATAAGATCAATAAGCTTTAATGATTTATCAATAAAAAATAAAATAAGATTATTTTTTTTAATAAACAAAAAAGACAAAGTATCAATAAGATTGTATGGCTTTTTTTTAAATAAAAAAATAATAATTAATATTAATTAATGCTAAAAATGTAATAAAATGATTTAAAAAAAACTATTTGTAATAATATTCCTATTATTAAATTTATTATTTATTATTCACATAATTATACTATCAATTTTAAATTGTCAAAACAAAATATATCTATGGTAAATATATGATTTGATAATCCTTATTATCATCATTATACATTAATGAAAATAAAAATAATTATTTAACTATTTTAAAAAAACAAAAAAAATTTCTATTGTTAATTAATTAAGTTAGAGAAAAAAAAAATTGTTACAGAACAAATAATATTAAAACATATTTTATATAGATTATGTAATATAATAAAAATAACAGAAAGTCAATTATTATTCAACATGACTGAAAATAGAATATTTAACACAAAAACTAAATTTTTATATATTATGAGAGTTTTTATAACTTTACTTATTTTTCAGCTCATTTTTGCATAAAATAATTTAATCAGATATGATATTTAATATTTTTAATAATGTGATTCAAAATTAGTATTATTGAAAATTTGAAATCTGTGTTACATAATAAAATAATTTTACATATAAACAATTTATTTTATTTATTTAAATAAAATTTATTAAAAACTAACAATAACAATATTAAAAAAAATTATTCTGATATAAAAATTGTAAAAATTGTAAGATCTATACTATATAATAAAAATTTTACACATAAACTGCTAAAAATATAATCATTATTTATTATAAAAACCTCACTTTAATTATGTTTCAGTCAGTTTAGATAATCAAATACTCTTGGTTAGCTAAGTATATACTGCCTTAAGCAGGTATCCTAACTGAAAAGACATTTAAATTATAATATTTGATAAAACTGCTTTTATAATTGATCAAAATATAATAAATAAATAATATTATATAGTAAATAATAGTAATATAAAGTATATATACTATACTAATTAAATATTTAATTTATTTAATTTGATTAATATCACTAATGATTAATTTTCCAATCTTTTAATTTTTTCTGAACTGTTATATTTTAAAAAATACTTTTATTTTTATTTTTATTTAATATTATATTTAAAAAAAAATCTTATTTATTTAAACTTAAATACTTAAACTTGTAAGAACTTATTAAATATATTTTTTTTATTTGTAGATTTTAATTTTTATATATTTAACAACTTTTTTATAAATATTAATACAGTTAAAATCAATCACCTTTTATTTTTAAATAAAAGTTGTTTAGCAGATTAGATACTATTTAAATTTAATTTTTCATAAATTTAATTTAATATTCATGTAGAATAATTTTTTTATAACTTTACTAAATGAGTCACATTTTTTTAATTTCACAAATTTAATTTGGTTATTTTGATCAAAATAAATTATTTACTGTATATTAAGTAAACATATTCTATAGATTTAATACTACTAATATATAATTTCGTACGGAACTGCAAGTAAGTCATTAGACCGATATCATAAGCATAACCTAGTACTTCAGGCGTTGCGGAATTATTAAGACAAAGAAAAAACGATTGAATTTTTTCTTAAAAATAAATCAATTAAATCAGCATGATATTTATCAAATAATACCAAGATCATGATGGAAGTGTAAGTTATAATGTTACAGATAAATCGAGCGACTAAAAGGAATAATAAAGTGTGCCAAACTATAGTTTCACTTTAAGGTGTTGTTAACGCACTTTTCAATCGATTAATCAAGGAAAAGGCAAAATAAACCGGAACGTAGTCAAATAGACCAAGATGGAACAACCGTATTATGCTAATTTTACGCGCTATCCATGGATATACATAGATTGATTAGATAAATGAATCATCCTCATTATCTTTAAATTTTGAGCTATATCAATTGCTTGATATTCAATGCCCCCATCATGAACTTTCGCTACCGCAAATAATGTATAGATCTCATCACTCATTATAGAGTGAAGTGTAAGGATGACATTGCTTATAATGACATTTAGTGTGACGAGTGAAATACCAATGAAAGGAATCGTTTCCTGATTACATGAAATAACTGTCGGACCATAATCACCATATTCAGAGATACAATCGTTTTGTAAAGTATTATCACGATGACCAACTGTTTCTTGATCGGATTAGGTTCGGGTGGAATAAGACGTGTTCTGCCCTCATCATCATCATCTTTAATTTTAAATTTTTGGGTTTCCAGCAATATAAAATATCTTATTATAAGCCCAGTAAAACTAATAGAAGCGGCCACGAAACATAGAAGGAAATAAGGATATTCTTTAAGAAAAGCGCAATTTCCAAAGATGTTAAGATACTTATCTACGGGATTAGACAAATCTCCCCCTATCATAGGACCAACTGTTTACAATAAACATATTATAATGATAGCAAAAGTAGGAATAATATACACGATATATTAATTCCAGAAAGACCGATTAAAAGTATTGGACGTCTTCCGGAGGTTTCAATTTAATTAGCGATATTCATTATATGATATGTGAACTTACGGAAAATTAAATTTGCTGAATCATACTACTTGGACATGTAACCCCCCAAGAACAGCAAAGCAAAATTGTGTAAGCGAAGAAGCTTGTGTAACAAATACCAAAACATAATACTCGATATATAATTACCATTATTATTATTATTATTAAAAAGAATTTCAAGATCGTATTACAAATGGTTAAAGAAAACTAAAGTTGAGAGGTTCGGAGAAAACAGCCACTGCTAACACCAATAAAGGAATTTTGGGCAATGGTTGTTTCGGAATACGTTTTACGTCCTTCCATCTTCAACATTATTACTTAAAGAATGCTGAGAATTTAAATTTTCAGAAGATATATTAGCACTACAAGGCTCTGTTGTATTCAATATTGAGTTATTCCCTGATGAAACGAAAGAGTCATCTATTTAAGTATGTGTGACGAATATAAATGTTACTTAGTAGTCAGAAAAGTACTAATTTTGAAGTAGAACGTCTTTATAAATCGGAGTAAGAAATTTTCATCAATGATAAAATGGTAAATACTACCGCATATTGCTATCCAAGAAAGGAATCTTATGACAAAAAAAGAATATGTCAATTTGTATGGAACCGCAGAAATCGCATAATGATTTCCCTTCGTGTTACAATTTTACTAAGTATAATAGGGACAGAAACTTTTTCGAAGGTTACGCAGATGCACCGCATGGTGATAAAATTATCGTATATATAGTTCTTCGTATGAAACACAGGCTCAGTTGGCTAAGTTAATAAGACAAATAATTAGTATTTATTTTTTTATGTAAGAAGTTTAATAAAGCGACATATTATTGATCACGGGAAAATATTTTAATTTTAAGTTATCGCATCCCATATGATATTTAAGAAATTTGCAGGAGGCATTTAATATTTTTTATTATTATTATAATTGAAAAAAATTCTAAGACGTTTTAACTATAATACTATAATTTGCTCTTCCAAAAAAAGGAAATAACACTTTAAAAATAACTAGCGAAACGATTTTGTCTTAAATATGTTGTGAGTGTACAAAAATAATGTCATTCAAATTCATTCCTTCAATATAAAAATAAAAAAAGAGCATAATTGAATGCTTCAATGATTTCTATGTATTTTGGTGAAAGATTCTTTGTAAAAATATCATTAACTTTCAATATTTTATATACGCAATTCGATAAATTTATATCAGAATTATGTGACCTCTTCGCAATAATTTATATAACAAATATGAAAACTGTATTAAAAGGAACAAATAAAATATTTTATAGAAACTTTATTTATATAATTACATTACAAACATTTTTTTAAAAAATCATGGTAAAATTTATTTATGTTTTTATTAACACTATTTTTATTTATACTTGTACTGTACAATTATAACAACTCATATGACAAGGCTAAAAAGATTAGGAAGAAATATAATAAATAAAATAAGTAACTTACAAGTTTCGACTTCGTTCCAAGGATGGGGGTATCCAATACGGCTTGGCTCGGTCGACTATTGACTACGCTACAAGGATGGGGGATATCCAACAGGACTCGGGTTGCGTGAGCACCCACTCGTGAAGCAGTTTTTTAAACATAAAGGAAGATGCATAGCAATTCTTATTTCAGAAATCGCAGACCCTTACATTAACGAGCAGTTGTACCGGCCCTTTTCAATTGTAAACAATTAATGTCGATCCCCCCATCCCTATTGAGAAGAAAATTAATTAAAATTTAAAATGATACGAAAATCAAATGATTGTATACCCGTATTTGCCGCTTCCACTTCTTCATTGTTGACTAATAAAATTAAGTATATTAACATTAATAAGGACAGCATATTTTCTTTTTTGAATTTTTTAGTTTTGTCAATATGAGTTGTTATTTATCAAGAGAAAAAGAAGGGAAAGTTTGAAATCAGAACACGAAATAAAAAAAATAATTTTCAGGTATCTTCGTCGATTTAAAAATAATTCTAGAGAAAGAAGTGGAAAAGGGAATTAATTAGTTATGGAATCTAAGTAAAAATAAGGTAAAAGATGCAATATATCGGAACTTTAGTGACGTTTATGAGTAAATATCAAGGAGAAAATATTTTTTGTAATGGAGGACATTCGTCATATTTCACAAAATGACGAGAAGAAACTATTGTCGATAATAATAGGGCACTACACTAGAGAAAAAGAATAAGGAGCTTACTAGCAGGTTAAGATTAGAAATCCAGATATCAGCTCCGGCAAGTGTAAAGATTTTTTAGAAGATAGTCTCTCGCTGAAAGAAAGTGACAGTTTATTTAAGGTGGGCGCGGTTCATGAGAATATTTTTTTTTGTAAAAGGGCTACGAAAAAAAGAACATTATAATTTGATCATAATTTGTATAAGGTACGAGAATGTTGTGCTCAAAAACTTGTCCACTTCTTTGTTTCTTTATAAAAGAAAAAAAAGGATAACCGCAAATCGTGTGAAAAAAATAAAATTACAAAAGTATACTTTTTTATTTCCAAATATGTTAATAGGATTCTAAAATTGGCCTATTGGCTTTCATATAAAATTTGCCTACTAAAATCGATGGTAATGATGTAAACCAATATTTATTTTGTTATTTTGGAAAATGGAAACGAGAAATGTAACATTTTTACAGTAGCGAAAATATTATTCCTTATTTTATTTTATTTTTTTTATGTATTATTTTAAACAGGTTATCGCAAGCTTGCAAGAATCATATTTATTGTTTCTTTTTGTCATTGTCATACATTTTCCTTCTTGATATATTTTAAAAATCCGCCACTCAGATTTCGTTTGTCAAAAAAAATGTAAGGCGCAGCCATCTTCCGAGATATATTTTAAACAGAGGTGGTGCTAAAAAATTAATAAAATTTAGTTTTTTTTGTTACAGTAGAAATGGTTTTAGAGCAAATGTTCAATTTAAAAAAATGTGAGACGCGCGCTGTTATTTAGACATTTTAGAAAAAAAAAAAAAAATAAAAAAAAAAAATGCATGTCCCAAAATGTATCCTTTCTTATAGCAATATGAATATGATTAGTGTTCACCACGAGTACTATTTGTATGAATTCTTGTTACTTGTAGTATTCATGCGTAATTTCTCACCACGATGAGCTTCTCTTGCTCACCACTACTCACTACGAGTTTTTTTTGTATGAGCACTCATCACACGAGTTTTTAAGCATGTGTATTTGTTACAAGTTTTCTTACATTAGTACTCGCCACGAGTGCTAATCTTCGTAATATTCGTCTGAATTTTTATTGTATGAATATTTACTTGCTTAGATGATCGTTCTAATCACTTGAATTATTTATAGTTTAATATGGAATTTGAACAACTTATAATTAAATAACTTAAATCAAAAGAATATCCGAAGTTGGAGTGCCTTGAATGACTTACAATATTTATCTGATAATATTGAATACACAAATAATAATGTCGAAGAAAATTACGGATTTTACAATTCAAAAGCTTTCACAAATTTTAGACATAAATGAACCGGAAGTTCGGGATTTTCTGATCGATGGAAATATAATTGTGGTTTGTTATAAGCTTTACTTTTAATGTTTACTACTAAAATTTTAAACTTTCTATACTTACAACTGTCAATAGGAACAAGAGAAAGAAGTACTAAGCCAATTAGAAGTCCAACCTCATCAAGACAACAGGATCATTCACCACCATATGCGTTATATGAATTATACAAAGTTTGTTCTATCGTATTTTATTAATCCCTTTCCTCTTCAATAGTCCAGGTCTGGTGTTTCACAAGTCCTAAACAGATTCACTTACGTGTCAACTATATCACATCTTCAAAGATGCAATGCTCCATCGGACGCGATTGAAAGTTCACGAAACCGCATTATCTTCATAATACACATTGGGTTACTATGCACTGCTTGAACTCCTGATGGACAAGCAATGCTATTCCATCTGATATTTTAAATGAATTTATTAATAATTGCAGTATCTGCCAAAACATAAATAAAACACCGTTGATAACATTGTTTTTGTCAATGGAAATTTAACTTGCATTACCTATAAACCTTTGTTAATAAAATCTATTCGGGAGATTAAGGGAATTCACTTCCGGCCAATATTGGCAAGTTAATGATGTACTTGTGAATGAAGTAAGGTTCTACGGTGATCCAGGAAGAGTGTGTAGACCATTATTTGTTGTCGAAGATCATCATTTAGTATTGACTTCAGATACTTTATCAAAATTAAAACTGGTAAGTAAATATTTACATATATATTTATATATATACCTATTATTTTGATTTCACTCTTTATATCTTATTGTTATTAATAATTAATAGTAGATAGCACTGGAGACAAACCAAAATTTATGGGAGGCATTAGTTTTATAGCGTTACATCGAATATATTGATGTTTAAGAGGAAGAATCTACAATGATATGTATCTTTCTGGATGAATTATATGAGTCGAGATTGTATAATTTACGTAAACTTGACCAAGAAGGAAAGACGATCCATGAACGTTTAACAAATTCCAACTTATCCAAATAAGTGGACCCATTGTGAAATTCATACAAATATGATTTCGGTGTTTCCGCCAGTCTAATTACATTTTCTGATTATATATCAAGTAAGATAATGTACGTATAGATGTATTGGCTAATTTGTTGTATTATTCTCAGAAGCCTCTTGTAACCACAAAAAAGTTATGGAATACCTTCAATTCAAAGAATTACCTGCTGGGATCAATGTTATCGTAGCTATTATGAGTCATGAAATAACAAATCGAAAGCTCATTGTCACAAAGACTATAAAAGTTATTTTTAATTCGTGATATTGCGCAAGTACGCACATCTTTTGATTTATCATTTATTTTTAGTAAATCATTTTTGTTTAATATTAGTTTGCAAATAAAAAAAAAAAAAACGCGTGAACATTTCTATAAAAACATTTTTTGTATTTTGTTAGTTCTGTTATTTTAAGGTAAATTAGTTTTAATTTTATGCATTCTAACAATATTCAATTTAAAAAAAATTTACGAACATTAATTTTTTATTGTCGCCCATTATAATGACGAACAGGAAGCTTTATGTATTTATGTAGAATAATTATAATTGATGGGATTAATATTCTTATAATTTTATTATTTAATACGTATTAGAGCAAGAGATTAATACTTTGAGAATTTGTTGTATTAATGGTAAAATTATATAAAATTTGGTTTGGTTGTATTGCTAGTTATTTAAATTTAAATTTAAAATAACTTTCACAGGTCTAAGCAACTGAATATAAAATTGATTGTGATGCCTTGATAGAAATAATAAATAAAGTCAAATTAATCATTTAACACTAAACCTAACACCATCACTATCACTGACACTAACACAAATACCAGCACTAACACTAACACTAATACTAACACTTACACTATGATTAAAAATTATATAAATAATTATCATTGAAATAAAATAAGGAGATGGAGTCAGGTAAATTTGGTAAGTTTGTTATTTGAGTTTCATTACAATAGAGGTCTGTTAAGGAGGTAGGTAATGTTGGTAAGCTAGTTATTAGAGTTTCATAGCAACGGAGTTTCGTTAAGGAGTTGGGTAATGTTGATAAGTCAGTTATTTGAGTTCGATCGCAATGGAGTTCCGTTAAGGAATCTGGTAATGTTGGTAAGCTTGTTATTTCTGTTCCATTGCAATAGAGTTCTGTTAAGGAGTTAGGTAAGGTTAGTAAGCTTGTTATTTGAGTTTCATAGCAATAGAGTTCCGTTAAAGAGTTGGGTAATGTTGGTAGGCTTGTTATTTGAGTTTCATTGCAATAGAGTTTCGTTAAGGAGTCTGGTAATGTTGGTAAGCTAGTTATTTGAGTTCGATCGCAACGGAGTTCCGTTAAGGAGTTGGGTAATGTTGGTAAGCTTGTAATTTGAGTTCGATCGCAACGGAGTTCCGTTAAGGAGTCTGGTAATGTTGGTAAGCTTGTTATTTCAGTTCCATTGCAATCGAATTTCGTTAAGGAGTTGGGTAATGTTGGTAAGCTAGTTATTGGAGTTTCATAGCAACGGAGTTCTGTTAAGGAGTTGGGTAATGTTGGTAAGCTTGTTATTTCAGTTTCATTGCAATGCAGTACCGTTAAGAAGTTGGGTAATGTTGGTAAGCTTGTAATTTGAGTTTTAGAGCAATAGAGTTTTGTCAATTTTCGATATCTTTGCAATGCGCCTAAGGTGTTTAATATGTTATCCTTATTAGTATCTGTGATAGTTAAACTAACAATAGTATCATCATAATTAACATAATTAATTAATTCAAGATTGCTGATTCTCTTTTCTAATGCATATATAAATTCTTGTTTTACTTTGGAAACTTTTTCTCGTTCTCTAACTTTTGCTTCTAAATTATTAATATTGGCTTTGGTTTCTCCTTCTCGCTCTCTAAATTTTTCTTTTAAATAATTAATAATTTCTTGCTTGGCTTTGGATTCTTCTCTAACCTTTTCTTTTAAATTATTAATCATGGCTTTGGTAACTTCTTCTCGCTCTTCAAATTTTTCTTCTAATTTATTAATAATTTCTTGGTTAGTCATGTGCACTTCTTCTTGTTCTTTAATTTTTTCTCCTAAATTATTAATATTTGTTTCTCGCTCTTTAACTTTTTCTTCTAAATATTTGAATTGCGAATGTAACCCTTCGTTACTTTGCTCTAATTCCTTAATTCTCGTTTCCAAGTTTTATAACGTTCTTTCAAATTTGTTCTTTAAAACCATTTTATTTTTGTTTGGATTTAATTTAAATTGTTCGGATGGTTTATTTCAATGAATTTTATTTATTTTCTTGCTTTCAATAGAAAATTCTCGTTTGCTCAGCCCTCGGTTTTAAATTTTTCCAACCGTAATTTTAACCATAAATAGTCTAGTATGCTCGGATAACTTAGAAAGGATCTAACCGCTTCTTGTCTTACCTAAATTTTTCTGAAATTGGTTTTTAATGGAATCGAAAATTAAATCAAATGTTTCAGCGGCCTCCACCTTTATTGGTCGACATCAACTCGGAACTTTTCAGCGAAAAATCATCTCCTAAATTAATTTCGCATTATGCAAAGAAAATTACATGTATCATTCTTGAACGTTCTATTATACACGCCAATTGTTGATTCATATCTCGCAAAATTATATAACGTCAGAAATCCCATGCAAAAAGTGTTGTCATTAGAAAAAAAAGGATATAATATTTGTATATCTAAAGTAATAATTCTGTGTCTACTTAGATATCAAGTCATGTCGATGTAAAAATTTTAACACGTAGAGTCTTTTTGTTACACAAAAAAATACAAATGCTGTAATAATTAGTTGAGCTAAAACCAGTATGTTACACGGCAAACAAGGCTGGCTACTTTTTTCTGTTTATTCTATTAGTTATATTTGTTAGTTAAGATTTATTATGTAGAGTTATTATAGTTAATATAGTTATTCAAGAAGCGATAAATAATTAAAGAGTTTAAGCTTCGAGAATGGGTTATAATAATTTCATTCTCATAAAAAGAATTTTTTTTGATTCCTTGGAAAGACAAGCGATTAAGATATTATAATTCCAACAGATGTGAAATAATATCTTCAAAATTTTCAGGTAATTGTTCGAACAGTAAGCATGATGAAATTGGCTGTTACAAAAAAAAAAATAAATTTTTGTTAAAATTTTAAATTGTTACCTGAAAATTGATCATCATTTTGGGTTGCAAATGGTAGTCGTTGCAGCTTTGAGTATCTAATTTATTTTTTACAATATTTAGTTCTGTTAAAATTCAAAAAAGTTTACCTATGTTTGTTTAAGGGTGTAATGTCAGAATCGAAAATAGAAAACCTAAAATGAATTGTGCCATGAAACCAATCATTTTAATTAAATCCGAATTGCTTTTGAATAAACTTTACAAGAACTTCTGTTGCAATTATTTCTAAGCTCTCAATTTCATTTCTTATGTGTGCATTTATCCGATTCCCGGATTACTTAGAAGGTCACGCAACCTTAGAATGTAGAATAAAATCTCCGATTTAAATTACAGAATTTTAAAAATCTCTGTGTTTACGTTTCTTGAATTTATTTCCCGTGAAATTTAAATGAATTTGCATTCTAAAAAAGAAAAAAAAATTTGCTAAAATGACGAGAGTATTCGTTTGAAATTATTAATCAATATCCCAAAATATATATTGTATTGAGTTGCAAGGATGAAAAGAAATTACATGGTTGTATTACAGAGTTAATTGAAGTTTGTGGATATTTACTTACAAAACTGCCTTGTGTTGTATACATGAAGGATTAAGAATCGATTTTTTATGGCGCACATATTTTTTGAACGCCAAAATTTTTTTTTTTTTTTTGCTTTTTGTTTATTAGCAGTCGTTTTAAATTCGGTTTTCAAAAATGCAACTCTATTCCCAAATATCAAATTTCTTTACAATAAAGTGCGGAGAATAGCTAGAATAGCTAGTAATCTTATAATATCTGGACGCTGGTCCAAACAACTTTAATAATTCTCCAAGAGTTGCCACTCGAATATTCTAATTATAAATAAATCTTACCGGCTTATTATCAAATGATGAAAGGTAAAGCGTCTTATCTTTAATGGTAAACCGTGTCCAAGTTCAAACATTATTATACCTTAAAATATAAATATCTGAGGATTGAGTATGAGAAATTCCACCTAAACTTGAGCAAAGTATGACAAATCCCAAATGTATTTTACCTAATTCAAAAATTATATTACTCACGCTATCACATCCATATTTCCATTTATCAATACATGTACCATTCCTAATTTATAAATTATAGCAACATCAATAATCATATAATCCATGATATTTATTTTTACTTACCATGAAGTTTTATAATAATCCGTTTTCAAATATTCTTTCAAACTGCCATCTGCTGCATATTGAATTATGGCAATATAATTTCTTGTGTTCGGATCCTGAGAAACGCCATAAAATCAAAAAAAAATAACATACCGTCATAAATTGATGTTGAACCTTTAGATAATTGATAAAAAAAATGCGTTAATAGTCGTCACGATTATATTTAAATTAACTAAACATTTGCCTCATCATAAATAATTTAGAAGGATTCTGCGGATTGTGTTTTGATTTGAACAGGAATACTACGTTTTCGTTGGTAATAATAGTTTCATCATAACAAAATCATCTTTCCTTTCTACATCATTCCAATTCGCAATTTCATCAATCAATTTATGGCAATCACGTCTACCAGTCATTATAGCTTTCGGTTTCATAACGGAAACATCGTCTAAATTGGTCACTCTTTATTCGTTCTATTTTACTTTTTTTAAAACTTTTACAGAATATAAGGTGAAATAGCGCCAAATTACCAAAAATGACATATTGTGTAATTTAATTGGAAGGAAATGCTTAAATATTTATTTAATTATATTTTAGGAATTTTATAAAAAAAAAATGTTACAACGAACGCGACAAGTACGTAGACGTGTGCCATTACGCTTTCCTTATTACCCTTATCACACTTACTTAGATCCTTGCCCCCACTTCGTCAGCTGTACTTTCTTCTATTCCCTCTTCCCTCTCCACGTGCTTCTGTGTCTACTCATCCCTTCCATCCTGTTATTACTACAGTATAGCTTCAGTTCCTCTTCCAGATCGCGTATCCGTCGTTTTTCTATGTGGACAGAGCCTGTGGATCTTTGGTCCTCCTGGCATATATGTTACCATTGTCTATAGTTTTTATTCCTATCCTTTTCGTTTAAGCTGCTGACCACATCTCCTTCTTCTTTGTCGTTTTGACATATTCATTAAAAAAAAAATCACCTAGATCTTTTGATAAACATGACTACGATATAGCAGTGTATCGTACATATTTATGAAGTCGGCTATTTTGATTTTTCCTTTTTGCATTTAAAATAACCCTCTTATGGCCATTTTATCTGAATTTTGTAGTTTAGAATTCTTTTTATTTCATTTATTTATTTATTTATTTTTATGTTAATATTACTCATCAACAAATTTTGTAATTAATAATTCTAACAATTATAACCAATTAACCTGCATTTTTCATCGAGGAATCTATGAAGTTCTTCCTAAGAGTTAGTTTAGTTGTGTTGAAAAACAGGCATACTCTGGAAGACATATATCAAAAGTAGCAGGATTGCAAAAAGGTAATGGTCTAGCAGCAAAATATTTTCCTACGACCATCGAATACGGTGTTATGCCAATACCATCAAGTTTGATCAGCTTCTGATTCGTTCTTAAGTATACTCAATCTGAAAAAACGGTTTAAGATTGAAAATTTAGTGGAAATATAGATATTACAAGCCAGAATCAAGAGATCCAGCACCATTTCAATTAAATCTGCTAATAAGAAAATGGTTGTTTTTATGTTAATTCACCCAAGGTGGTGAAATCATGAAAACAATTATAATTCGAGAGCATTACTTGATTAAGTAAATTTAAAAGACGCTCTTTGGCATTTTGTCTTAGAATTAAAACTGTCTTAAAATATGGTTTTTATCTGAAAGGTGTCGTGATAAAGTCTTTTATAAGGATTAGTCAAAAAGGATGATCGAAAATAGATAAAATATAAGGGCGCTGACTTTAATACGATTGGGGAACAAAATGTGTACTAAAAATAAAATTAGTCGTTGTTCCAAAATAAATAAATAGATTTCTCGATCTAATAAATTGCATTATAGTTATTATTCCTTGACCTTGTTTAATTTTTTATTTATAAAAAACTTTCGATTTTATTTCAGGTTTTTCGCGAAACAAAAAAAATTTATAAATAAATAAATGCTAAAGTTGAGTTGTTAATAACATTTTCCTATCTTTATTTTATTTTTTTAATTTTAACGAGTTAAATAATTATCCATTTAATTTTTAAGAAACGTATTTATAATATATTAGCATCGCTTAAATATTTCATTATTCTTTTTTTTTTTTAAAAAAAAAATAAGAATAAATAAATTGACTCACCGTATAGTCTTAAATAAAAGTATTTACTTATTGTCAGAATGTTATATAAAAAAAGCTTTGCTTAGAATCGATAAACAGGTTTAGAATTCCCGTGGCTCATTTACGTCAATACGACTTCTTAATATTGTTTACGACATTTTCATTTCGGATATTATCGTTCAATAGAATATCGTCTCTCTTATGGATCGGTCCATAAATCAGTCCTTCCTTGGACCTGTCCTAAGTCTGGTCTTGGATTCTATTTCATTCTGGACTTATTTATATGAAAGACCTGATCCAACCCTAGGTTTTAATAGTAGTGAATATTTTTCTTCAGATAATAAAATTGCAATTTACAAATATGAAATATTAAGCCAGTTTACTTTCTCAAATTAATAATGTAAGCAATATCTATAATATTCCTTAAAATTTCTTTATAAGATAGAGGTTTTGATTTTTATGTTAATCAGTTACTTTAATTTTTACAGTATAAGAATAAACTAATAGATCACTTGAATTCTATAAGCAAATCATTTAATTTTTTTAATTACAAATGAAAAATATCGTGAGCTAAGCAAATCATTTAATATAATTTGATATTTGATAATAAGTTAACCATTATACATTCTACAAACGTGAAATCCGAAAGAATTGGTTCTTCTGCCTTCATAATTTTTTTAATTACAAGTAAAATTCTTTAGAATAGAAATTTTTGTAAGTTGGGCTATCTCAATATCGAAATTCCTGTTTGGTAAAGTAAATTTCTAGGAGTTAAACTTTGAAGAATCATATCAACTGAAATTACGATTTGATAATTTAACAATTTCAGAATCCACCTTGCAAATTTAGCTTGAAAGCTATGAAAGAGGAAATAAAAGTTTAATTTTTTTAAAAATCATAAATAATTTAATAACTTTTGCATGATCATTTATAGCAGCTTTTTAGGACCTAGAATAATATAATGTCTGTACGCAGCACTTTTTACTATAGTCCGTACGCATGTTTGGCTTCTGACTTTCAAAATTATAATAAAATATGCATTCCAAACATTTGACTATAATAAAATAAATTTTTTTATTAAATAAAAACTTTATATATATTGCACGAATTTAGAGAGGTGAAATAAATAAATAAGATAATAATAAAATGAAAATTTAAAATGATAAAAAAAAAAGTTTAAGAAGGGGATTTGGGGGTAACTTGGTACCCCCAGGAAAAAATTTTTTTTTTTACAAGTTAGAAACATTGGGTTCCACAACCTTTTTTATTAATTATATAGATTATAATGTAAAAATGTCGAGCGACTATTTTATGTGACCATAATTATGATTAAATTAGATATTTCTAACAAAGGAAAGTATCCGTCAAAGTTATTAAAAACAAGCAATCTTAACATATTACTATTTTAAAATCCGAATAAAATTATGCAAATAAAATCTATGACTTCATCATAATTTTGAGCAATTAAATGCAATCTCTAAATCTAACCAATTAAGATCTACTAAGGTGGTGACGAATTATTTCCTATCACCTATATTAGGATTGTTTGGGGTCCCACTAATAAAAGACCTTTTTATAAATTCTATTAATCTTTTATTATTTTCATATAATGATACAAGATTATTTTATACTACTGCATAATTATTTTCAGCAGTTTTTTGATACCAATAAAAGGCTTTTTCTAAATTTTTTTCAGTCCCTTTATTATTTTTATATAAATTTGCAAGATTATTTTATGCATTTACTTTTCAATTTCCAGCTTTTTTATACCAATAAAAGGCTTTTTCTAAATTTTTTTCGGTTTTTTCACCTTTTTCATATAATATTGCAAGATTATATTGTGCAATAATATTTTCATTTTCAGCAGCTTTTTGATACCAATAAAAAGCTTTTTCTAAATTTTTTTCTATTCCTTTACCATTTTCATATAATAATGCAAGATTATTTTGTGCTGTTACATTATTATTTTCAGCAGCCTTTTGATACCAATAAAAAGCTTTTTCTAAATTCTTTTCTGTTCCTTTACCAAAATAATATAAATTTGCTAAATTATTTTGTGCATTTATTTCTCCATTTTTTGCAGCTTTTTGATACCAATAGAATGCTTTTTCTAAATTTTCTTCTGTTTCTTTACCTATATTATATAAATTTGCAAGATTATTTTGTGCATTTATTTCTTCATTTTCAGCAGCTTTTTGATACCAATAAAAGGCTTTTTCTAAATTTTTTTCTATTCCTTCACCTTTATAATATAAATTTGCAAGATTATTTTGTGCTATTATATTATTATTTTCAGCAGCTTTTTGAAACCAATAAAAGGCTTTTTTAAAATTTTTTTCTGTTCCTTCACCAAAATAATATAATTTTGCAAGGTAATACTGTGCATCTGTATTATTATTTTTTGCTGCTTTTTGAAAATAATAAAATGCATTTTTATAATTTTGCTTTATTCCAATTCCATAATAATTATTTAAACCAATTTGCTTTAATCCTTCAAAATACATTATTTTGTAAAATTTATTACTTTTGTTCTTATTTATATTAATATTTATATGATAATACTTTATTAAATTATCTTTTGCAATAATATTTCCATTATTTGCTGCATTTTTATACCAATATAAAGCTTGTTTTTTATTTATTTCTATTCCAATACCATTAAAAAAATAATTTCCAAGTTGATATTGTGCATCAGAAATTTCTTTTTCTGCCAACATATTATAATATTTAAATGCTTTATTGTCATCTTTTTCAACTCCTTTTCCTAATCTGTAACAATCTGCTAAATGAAGTGTTGCAGTAATATTTCCATTACTAGCTGCTTGATAATACCAATAAACTGCTTTCTTTTCATTTTTCTTGGTTCCAATGCCATATTCATAACAATGTCCTAAATAAAACTGTCCTATTATGCTTTCATTTTCTACTGATTTTTGATACCATTTAAATGATAGTATTTTATCATTTTCGATTCCATATCCATTATAATAACATTTAGCAAGATAAACTTGTGAGATTGAATAATTTTCTTCTGCTGCTTTGAAAAAAAATTCATATGCTTTAACACTATCTTCATCTATACCAATATTTAAATAATAAAATAATCCAAGCAACCATATATATTGTGGACTTTGCTGCTTTCTTAACCAATTTAAAAGATTTTCAATTTGACTTAATCGTGATATTTTTTGCTTAATAAAATGGTAAATTTGATCATAAGTAATTCCTTCATTGTGTTTTTTAATTACAATTTTAATTAATTTATCAACAGTTATATGATTTATAAATATTGAATCAATTGAGTCTTTTGATAGATTATTAACTTGAAAAATTGAAGTTAATATGCGGCTTTTAAAATCAGTTATACTTGAAAGTGATTTTTTACTTTGCAAACTTGAACTGCTTTCATTATTATTCTTATAAAATTTAGTTATTTCTGAATCCTCTAAATCCTCATCTCTCTCTTTACTTGATTTAAATCTAGAATTATTATTAATTAATAAATTATTTTTGAAATTCGTCATATTTGATTGAGAAGATTTGATTTCAGTAAAATTTTTTATATCTTCAGTTAATTCTAAACACTCTAAATCCTCATCTATTTCTATACTTGGTTTAGGGCTAGATGCATCATTTATCGGTAATTCAATTTCTTCATTAAACTTAGCATTAATAATTTCACCAATTTCAAGAGAGATAATTGTTTTAAGCGTTGAAACGACTTTTTGAATATTTGGACGCTCATCAGTTTCGTATTTCCAACATTCTAATTGAATGAATAGGGATTAGATTCGTTTATAAATAAAAATGTTATTTATATTATTTACCTCGATATAGATTACTATATTCAGGTGGTGTTCCATCAATAATGTTTTCTCTTTTGCCGTTTAATATAGAAAGATACAAACATTCATCGTAAATAACATCTTTAAACGGTTGATATCCACTTGACATTTGCCACATCAAGACTCCAACACTATAGACATCGGATTTTTTATTAAATTTGTAATCCTTATTTTTATCTAAACTTTTTGGATCCATATATGGTAATATACCAAATACTTTCGAAGCATTACTTGATGCTTCAGCAATTTCTTTTGATAAACCAAAATCTGACAATTTAATAGTTTTTTGATGGATAAGTATATTCTCTGCATGCTATAATGTATTAATGAACAAATTTTTGATTAATAATCAATGTTGATAAAATAATAAATAATAGATTTAAACAAGTTGACAGTAAC